GCCCGGAACCATGCCCATTTCTGCAGCAGAATACTTTTAGGCGCCAAGAATTTGGCGCCCCGAAACTAGGGTTTCTTCATGGGCTGCTTGATCGCTGCTCCAGTGAAGCCCGGCCTCCTAGCAACTTGCAAGCCAAGATGGCCCCATCTGCAGGGGCAGCTCACTTTGCAAGGAACAACCACGTGGCTCAAGCTACGAGCTGGCAACGGTGACTCGGAATCGGCATGGCTCAGAAATCCGAAAGGCTGCTTCAAGCCCAGCGAAGCCCTCCTTCTGGCCTGCAAGATGGCCCCATCTGCAAGAGCAGTCATGCGTGCAGAGAAACGGATGCCTGACACTCGAGCTGGTGCCCAGATGGGCAAAAGCTCAACCAAATTGCTAACGGCCAATTTCGCGCTCGCGGGCCCCCAAGTTTCTTTGAAACAGCGTGCCACCAACATTGCCAAGCAGACACAAACGGCAGGCCTTTTGAAGAGAGGAAAGCGGACGTCACAAGTACTCCTGAGAAGGAGCCTGCAGTCTTCCAGCCAGGTCAGAGAAGAGTAAGAAACGTAATTTCTATCACGATGGCACTGCACTGGTGGCAAACTCCGTTGTCACGTAGCCCAGTCTGCAGTCTGTAAGAGAGCACGGTCTGCTTTTTGATCGACACATAATCTTTTGGATACTCCATGCAGATTCCCGAAAAGATGCGCTTCAGGCGGATAGCAGGAGTTACTTGTCAAAAGTCACAAACACAGGCAAGACTAACTGTCCGTCGCCGGTGACCAGCGCTCGCACCAGTGCAACAGGTAACGCTACGCGTTTGTCCTCACAAGTGCAATTAAGTGCGTGTGCAAAGCAAAAGCATGATTGTTCGCTTTTCACCATCTGGCTGCAAACATCAGCCGTCTGAGACTACCTGCCGCTGTCATACAGCTTGTTGTCATCTGTGACTCACGTCCGCTTTTGCTTGAAACGACGGCTCAACTCGTTGCCCGGGAACTGAGAACTTGCTCTTGCTTTGCGAGCAAATCAAAGCCAGAAATGGCGAAGGACAAAGTTGACATTGACACCAACGCATTGTCGGCCGCAAGGCTGCTCGTTGACATTGGGCAGTGTGACTGAAACAAGCAAGCCGGAAAAAATCGGAGAGCGTGGGATTTGCCTTGCAGCTTAGTGACAAAAGGTACCCAACTGAGCTGGCATGATGCCATAGCTATGCGAAGTTGCGCAACATCGTCGCGTGCAATCTTCCAATTGAGCTGTGCAATGCAACAACCTTCTCAGCAGCCATTACCGAAGCATAGCGCATGACTACTTGGAGTGTTCGCAAATATGACTCAGTAGCTGGACTAGGCAACGCCGCGCATGCAACTATTGACGAATCTGCCGCTGGCTGCATGTGCAATGCGCTGTCCGTAAGTCGCACCAAGCCCTCTTGACGACTCCCACGCTATGCTGACGTGGCCTCAACAGATCTTGCAATAGCGGCCTCCCCACGCACTCCAGCTGCAACATGCCGCAACCACTGCTAGTCAAAGTTTCGGGGCCACGAAACTCCCAAGGCAAAATCCGTGACTATGGATATGCAAAGCATGCTGCCCGATGCCAAGATAGCCCACCCCTAATTCCCACGAAGCCCGTTTCAAGACAAGCACTTCATGCCCTGGTGCGCGAATGTGAGACTGCCAACTCACTGAGGAGCGGCAGGAGCCGCCGATGTTGAGGCAGCTGCACACAGAGCAAACCAACGAGACCAGCAAGTGCTGGAGTCAGAGCGCGGACAGCTGCACGGAGCACTCAACAGGATCTTCAAGCTAAGCAGTCTCTGACACTGATGGCACCACATCACGATGCTGCTTTTTAAGTGGGCGCGACGACGAAACCTTGGGCAGGAGGATATGTGGCCAATGCCAGGAACACCAGAACAGGTAGAAATGCAATCAAGGACTCGCGTGTGTGTCCACCGGCAGCGCTCTGGCAGTGCAGCAAGACTGGCACGAACAGCACCGAACGCACGAAGCCTCTGCAGGTTGGAGGTTTCGTCTCAACAGCCTGACTGAGCGCTTCCCCGCGCACAAAGGGATTGCGAAGAACGCCTCATGGGAACTGGAGCCAAACACAGCGCAAGCAAATGCTTTGCGCAGTGCTAAACTTTGGACGATTGTTACGGCCCGTCATTCTGCAAGCCCGCCACACCGGCAGTTGCAACTTGAACGCGCAGCTCGGAGCTTGCAGAGAGAACCCCTGGAACTTGGCTGCCAAGCACTACCAGTAGCGCTGCATGCCTGGCATTCGCCGCTGTGGAATGCCCAAATGCCTCAAGCCAGCTGCGCGTTCAAGCCAGTGTTGCTGTCCACCTGCTGGCTGTCAGGCCGAGACCTTTCTAGCATTGGCCGAAACTCAAAGTGGACCGTTCGGCGCGCAGAGCCTGAAGGCATGTGCTGAAGGTGCTGGTTGAGAGAGGATGGTCTTGGCTCTCAAGCAACTCATCTCAACACCTGCTCTTGCTAGCAGCACTTTGCAGCTGCCGACGTTGGCTCACCTCATGTAGACTACCCGACAGCGTGCGCCGGCGCACAGCATCTCGGCGAAACTCTCAAGCAGAAATACTTCACAACCTTTGAACTTTCCGCTTGCGCCGGCATGGCTGAGGCGCGGGCCACTGCCAAGCCCAGTGCCTGAGCTGGCTGGCAATGAAGGCCGTGCTGAGCTGCAGAGTTCCTTGCCCAGCTGACACGCGCTTTGGGAGGGGCCATGCCATGCTGAAGCTGCTACTATACTCAGAGCCACTACAAACTGATCGCAAAAACACGGGACATCCTTGCGTTGAATGCACATCTCTGCATCGTGCACAAGCAGCCTCTGGCTCAAACCTGCCTGCTGCGGGTTAACTCATGCGCTCGTGGTTTCGCGCTGCACATCGCTGCAGCATTCCAACAAGGCCGGGGCAGTGGGACAGGGTGATGACGGAACGGTTGGGTTCTAGGGGTCACTTGCTGAGAAAGCAGCGGCTGAACTGCTGCCCTGGTGCACGGCATGTCCACCCCTACGACCTTTCCAAGGTGGGATTGACATCCCCAACCCTCACAAACAGATCACGACGCAACCGCCCCTTCCAAATCTCGAAAGGGTACGCCATTCAAACAGAAAGGTGCCCGGCACGAAGGACGGGATGCAAGTGCAAGGGCACTTTAAATGCACGTGCCCAGATTGTGTGAAAGCCTTTAGAAGTGCGCGAAAGCCGACAAGTCCCGGTGCGCCATTGGAGGAGTGCTCCGGACTCGCACCTCCGGAAGGATTGAAGTGTGTGTGCATGCCGCTGGCTGGACCAGGTGATAGACCACATCCGAAATCCACTGAGCATTAAAACTAGCGGCAAGAGTCAACTGCATGGATCTAAGGCTTGAATCGCCTACTGGGAACATTCCGCAAAGGCAACTCAGGCTTTGCAGCTCTTGTTCGTGTGCAGACTCGGAGTCCGAATCAACACAGGACTGCAGAACAAAATGAATAAGCTGGCAGCTGCAAGAACAGAGCCGCTGACTCGGGCCTGCAAACAAATGGCAGATATGTAGTTGTATTTAGGCGCCCTGCTCAAAACTGGCCATTCCCATGGGCGGCATAGACACCAGACCAGGAGATGTCGCATAGTGCGTCCTTTGGCACCCTGCAACGGTACAGGTCAAGTAGTCACATACCTGTGGCTGGAGGGTACACATGTTATGCTTTTTGGTTGCAAACAATGTCTTCCAGCGAGATGGCACTTCTTGTTGCGAAATGCCACATCGAAACGGCTAAATTGACCGTCCAAATGGCAGCTTGTCCCGACCATTGGGTGGCAACACGGTCTTAATTCAGAATAAGGCATGGCAGTGTGCAGACTGGTTTGGAGAATACCTGCGACTTCCGGAATGTACCTTTGGCGAAACAACTAATCTTTTCTGCTGTTGCAGGACTAAAAAGTCGAAGAACGCCGAAAAAAATTCTGCCGCTTCACCAAATGCCACTTTGAAGCAGAGTCTGGGTTTTGAAACCAGTCTTGTCCAAGCTGGCATTTGTTTTGCAAAACAAAGATGTAGCCATCGAAGGGAAGTCCAACTCATTCAAAAGGGGAGAACTCTCTTGCAGACTTCCACTTTTTTTACGTTTCCCTATACAGGTGTCTTTCTTAGCGGACGTTGATCTCGGTGACTAAAGTGTGCAGACTTGTTGAGAGTCCCGCAGCCACGGCGTCCAATGGCAAGCCCGTGGGATGCTTGGCGCGCCTGAAAACAATCCTAGGGTTGGCGCGCGCCTGTAAAAGGACTAGGTTAAAAGATCAAACTAGCCACAACCCAGTCTTTGCACACCATGGTCAATCAGGGCTCTTGGCAACGCATTGTAAGAAGCTTTTGACTGAGACATCGCCGTGGGCCCCAAATATCCCAATCCTGCTACGCTTGAGAGGCCTTTCGAGTTGAACCTCTTGATTGAGTGTGCGGATCTCAACCAATGCAGAATAATCAAATGTGTTGCGCTTGCCCCAGACACCGCGAGCTGTTGAAATTATTATTTCAAGCACAGATGAGAAAACCAGCATGTGCGGATACTCTTCGCGCCCCACCTTCTGTGACCAGTCCTGATTTAGGAGTTGGGAATGGAAGGTTCCCCCGTGCCAATACACATGTTTGACGGGCACTGCGCCCCAGCATTGTAGAATTTGGACATTAGGGTACAAAGTCATCTCTAAATTTGTGCAAATCCTGCGGCTTCAGAAGCCGTGATGCGATTGAATCCGCTACCAAGCTTGGACGTGAAGGCTTCTGAAACAGCACAACCGGATTTCCGAAAGGCGCTGCAAATCCTGCGCAAGCCTTGCAGCCCAAGTCTGCCTTAGCCGGGGCATGCCGGGGCCATGCATCATCAGCAGGGGCGCGAACGTGTTGATCTTCCACTGCTCCATTGCGCGTTGCGCCTTCACAGCAGCTTCCCCTGCTTGGCGCCAAGGCAAACCCGCCGTGTGGGCACTCTGCCACTCACTCCAGCGCGCAGCTCCGAGCACGCAGAACCCCGCATCTTGAGAGCTGGCAAGCCATGCCCACAAGTTCCAAGCACAAGGGGGGCTGACAAGCTTGCCAAGGCACCGGAAACACTTCGTTGAAGGTCACGACGACTTTCACAACGTATGCGCTCAAGGAACGCCTCAGATCCTGGGCAAGACTGCACCCCCAGTCAGCCTCAGTCAGCTGGGCCTGCTTGATGCGCCTGTTTGCGGTCAGGTCAGTCTGTGCAGCGTCTCTGGACATCGCCGGTTCGAAATTCGCGTAGAGCGCGTGTCGCATTGGCGCAAGCAGTCTCTGCCTCAAATGCAACGCGCAGGAAAGTGTGCCAGACATATCGAGAGCTCGGGCTGCGCGCTGCAAATGTCTCAATTCCTGCAGCTCTTTGTGTGCAAAACAGCATGGGCTTTGAGGTTCTGAACCCTGAATCAAACTATACCTGCAGGACCCATTGATACACAAAAAGGTACTGCGGCGGGCAGTTTGTGGCATTCGAGCGTTTTTTTCTCCTCAAATCCAAGTTGAGCACTTTTTGAGGTTGGCTAGCTGCTGTGGTAAAGTCGACAGAAAACCACCCCGCAACTTGAGCACGGTTTCCTGCTAGTCGGGCGCAATTTTCTGCAACTCGGGCGCAATTCCAAAAAGTGTGCAAAGCCAAAGCTCCCCGCAATCCGTGCGTTTGCATGCGATTGCATCCAAAACTCGCGCACTTTGCCACAGCTTGAGCCAACATGTGTGTCTTGGGTGGTTCCTGTTGCCTTCCTACTAGCTGGGAAGATGAATCCAAGCTGACAGTCCACACAAGCTCGCGTGCGTGTTCGCTCCTGGGCCGCTCAGAAAAGGGCCATATGTGGCGATTTGCCTGAACTTCCAGCGCTGCCCAAAAGCAAACAGACTCAGGCGCAAGGTTCACTGTGGATGGAGTGTGGGCCTATATGGCGGCCGGCAAGTGTGGCTAGGCATGCAAGGAGTGAGGCACAAACCCCGGTCTGCCAACTCCTGCTCATGGCTTCATGCTGCACGTCGTTGCAGTCCAAAAAGGCCGGCGCAGTGAACAACTCCATTTGAAATGTAGCGATGATTTGTTTGTTTGTTTCGTGGCTGTAGGTCAAAACCCTGCACCCCTGGTCCTGGTGAACATAAGAATAGGTCGTACATGGGTGTTCATCCGCCCCAAAACGGAGGCATAAATATAATGACCCATGGCCTGGTGAGACCAACAGGAACTTCGAGCACTGTGACAAGGTTTCGCACTGTGGATGGATGGGCCTAAAGGGCGGCCAAGGGTGGCCAGCTGGCATCCGGGAGCCCTAGCACGAGTAAACGAAGGGTGTCTTTTCATGCTGTTTTCACGGGGTGTTTAGGTCTTTCACGGGTTGCTCACGCACCTTTCACAGTGTGGAAAGCCAGCCTCTTGACAAAGCGATGGCTAAACGGGCACTTCTGGAAGCACTGGAAGGAGTGAGGCATAGACTCCGGTCTGCCAACTCCTGCACTCATGGCTTCATGCTGAACTGCAGCACTCCAAAAAGGCCGGGGCAGTGAGGATCTCACTTTTGAGGTAGCGATTGTTTGTTTCGTGAAACCATGAACGCACAAGATGTGGCACTGTGGATGGAGCACGGGCCTATATGGCGGCCGGCAAGTGTGGCCAGGAGGCATGCAAGGAGTGAGGCAAAGACTCCGGCCTGCTAACTCCTGCTCATGGATTCATGCTGCACGTCGTTGCAGTCCAAAAAGGCACGCATGGAAAACTCCATTTGACGTAGCGATTGTTTGTTTGTTTGTTTCGCGAGTGTTTCGCGAGACCAAGAGAAACTTCTAGCGCTGTGAAAATGTTGGGCACTGTGCTGTGGATGGAGCACGGGCCTATATGGCGGCCGGCAAGTGTGGCCAGGAGGCATGCAAGGAGTGAGGCAAAGACTCCGGCCTGCTAACTCCTGCTCATGGATTCATGCTGCACGTCGTTGCAGTCCAAAAAGGCACGCATGGAAAACTCCCATTTGACGTAGCGATTGTTTGTTTGTTTGTTTCGCGAGTGTTTCGCGAGACCAAGAGAAACTTCTAGCGCTGTGAAAATGTTGGCTTCATGCTGAACTGCAGCACTCCCAAAATTCCAGGGCAGTGAGAATCTCCCATCTGACACAGCGACTGCCGCGCACAAGATTTGGCACTGTGGATGGAGCACGGGCCTATATGGCGGCCGGCAAGTGTGGCCAGGAGGCATGCAAGGAGTGAGGCAAAGACTCCGGCCTGCTAACTCCTGCTCATGGATTCATGCTGCACGTCGTTGCAGTCCAAAAAGGCACGCATGGAAAACTCCATTTGATGTAGCGATTGTTTGTTTGTTTGTTTCGCGAGTGTTTCGCGAGACCAAGAGAAACTTCTAGCGCTGTGAAAATGTTGGGCACTGTGCTGTGGATGGAGCACGGGCCTATATGGCGGCCGGCAAGTGTGGCCAGGAGGCATGCAAGGAGTGAGGCAAAGACTCCGGCCTGCTAACTCCTGCTCATGGATTCATGCTGCACGTCGTTGCAGTCCAAAAAAGGCACGCATGGAAAACTCCCATTTGACGTAGCGATTGTTTGTTTGTTTGTTTCGCGAGTGTTTCGCGAGACCAAGAGAAACTTCTAGCGCTGTGAAAATGTTGGGCACTGTGCCGTGGATGGAGCACGGGCCTATATGGCGGCCGGCAAGGGTGGCCAGGAGGCAAGTAGGCATAGACTCCGGTCTGCCAACTCCTTCGCTGATGGCTTCATGCTGAACATCGCTGCAGCACTCCCAAAATTCCAGGGCAGTGAGAATCTCCCATCTGACACAGCGACTGCCGCGCACAAGGTTTGGCGCTGTGGATGGAGCATGTGCCAAGCCTGAGGGCGGCCATGAGGCCTCACACGGGAGTGTCTGGCTCAAACCTGCCTTCATGCAACACAATGCTCATGTGTGCCACATGCGACGGAAGAAGCACGCCGTTGCTCAAGCTTCGCGTCGTCCACTTGCAAACATCCCCCGTGCCGCGAGCCAAAGCAGCAGGCGCGTCTGGAACTTTTGCGGTTTCACACTTCGCAATCTTTGATTACGGATGATTGCTTTTGCCGCCGCATGAACGCGTGCCCGTCTGCCCAGGTTCACACAGTCTGTCTGCGAAAGGCTTGCACAAATACGTGGCGTCAAATTGGGCATGGATAAAACCCTCGCAGAAGCCGCTACCAATATTGCGTGCTTGATGTTGGGAGCGGATGTACCAGCGGCTGCGGCGGCTCCGGAAACAATGGATGCCAGAGAGGCCCTGCCCAAAGATATCAAAGATATGGATAATCGGGTGGTTCGCAATTGTTTCTTGATCGATGTCGCAAAATCTGAGCACCTTGATTTGTCATTTCCCGCGCGTAGCCCCGTGGCCAGCATGGTCACGCAGCTTGAATCTGTGTTTGTGCATATAGTTTGCCCATGCTCTGGTTGACTCGGTCAATCGGTCACACCTTCCCCAACGTCTGCAAACCGGCATTGATCCTTCAACAGCTGACAGTCGGTCTCGTCCCTTCAAAGAGATCAACAATTTAACAGTTAGGACCGAGGTCAGCAGCTATAAGAGAAACATCAGCATCAGCATAAACAAAACGCACACCACATGGGAAACAATCACAGTTGGCAACGAGCTTTAAGAAGCTTTTGACATAGGCTGAGGTGGCATATGCTTCTGCAGCGATCTGGGTGAAATCTTGGATCGCATGATTTACATCGCCGTTGGCCCTATACCAACTGCCCTCGTGATTGAATGTGCGCGTGTCTTTCCACTCGCTCACTGTGGAACAAACAGACTCTCTGCTGTTGCCTCAGGTTCTTGGTTGTGTGCGACCTGTTGCTCTGAGTCTTGCACACCCTTTTGTTTCATCGAAGGTGTCAGCGCAGTCGGGAAGCTACAATGGTTCCCACAAACACGTTCAGCTCTGCCGGCAGAATGCCTGCTTCCGCATTTGGGATTCTACGGGAGACTTATGGGCATCGGCCGCCTCATGCGGATCGAGCTTCAACATGGCAGCACAATAGATCGAATTTCTCTTGTGAGCCAATCTCGGGCATCGGAGCATAGAAGACATACCTCAGCACGACATACGCAAATCTATAACATGGTGGAATCTGTGGAAAAACACCCGGAGAGAAGCCTCAATTTCTTGGGTGTGCTTGATTTTTTGGGGGTAGCTTGTTCGAGGATCTCTCACGGAAAAAAAGAAGAAACAACAACTCTACTCGGAGCTTGGTAAGCTTCTTCCCCCTGAATCTTCCTCCGGGCTTCCAATTGAACTGACAAAGCTCTTGCTTGCGCAGTTTCTCATGTCGCTTCTCCAATCAGCTTCCAATAGTCACTTGCCCTGAAACCTGGCGGTTTCCTTTGGGTGTGATGAAAATAGTGCTGCTTTAGCATTTGTAGTCGCAACAATGTGAGACAACATCGGGTTATCTGCACAAAACCGCAAGAAATAACGTGTTCCCTTTTGGTTTCCCTAAAAGCCAACCTAAGGTCAAACTCGAAAAACAAAAACACCTGGCCATCATCTTTTAAAAAAGAAAACGCACCCTCAACAAGAAGAAAAGAACAGAAAACTCCCAAAACAACCAAAAGGACAAAAAACAAGAGCTGCCCCCCAATTTTCCCCAGGGCTTCCAAAGGTCTGGCGAAGAGAGGTCGTTCCAGGACCTAGCTTAAACTGGGGGACCCTACTGTGGATGGACAAAATCCATTTCGCACGACATTGGAATCATGAGAACCCCTTGTTTGTTGGTATTTGCAGGGGGGTCATCATTCAGGGATTCTGAGGTGGTGCGAAATGGATTTCGCAACCACCCAGTAGTAAAGACCCAGTTTAGCGAGGTCCTGGAAGCCCTCAACCTCAAAAAACTGGATTGAGCCATGGATTGAAGACCCAGTTGAGCGAAGGCCACCCTAAAAAAAAGTCAAAAGAACAGGAAAAAACCACGAACACAACTGTCCTCCAGTACAGAGGTTACAATAAGTTGGTACCCGATTTTTCCAGTAGTTTATATGTTAGTAGGGTTTTTCCTTCCCAACCAAAAAAGAAAGGGTGAGAGGGCACCAATTGCTGGGGGATCTAGACAACAAACCGACGAATAAGACCACTCACACAACAAACCGACGAAAAACAGGGAAAACAAACAAGAAAAAGAAAAAAAAAAAAAGACGAGAAGAAAAGGGGGAACAACAAAAAACAAGAAGACAAAACAAATACCTCCCCATCTTCCTCAACCCCTGGCTCAAAAAAACGCCTCCTCTTCCGTTTCCGTTTTTTAAGCCCTTTCGGTCCCCGAAGCCAGTCTCGTCGTCAAAGACCACCTCCAGGAGAGCACCTGGCGCGGAGAACTGACGTCACAAGCCAAACACATCAACAACTCACTTGCCCAGTGGCCCGTGGACAAAAAGTAGCCAAACTATGCCGAACTTGAAAGATTTACCACTAAGATGGTCCAAACCA